TGGAACCACCTCTTAATTGCTGGTGTTCCCAGGTCCACGCTGACCCGAGGTCGTAGCACTTGTTAGGGTCCCAGCTATGGGTAAAAAGTTAACCCCCAAACTAGAGTCAAAACACTATGAAAGTGTAAAAATATGTTTTAATACTAGCAATACATTTTTATAAAAATTATTACCAGCAATGAATTTTTGAAGAAAATTACCAGAAATACATTTAAAAAAAAAAAAAAATAATAATATTACCAGCAATATTTTTTTGGAAAAAAATGTTTGTTGTAATAAAACTCTTGTCGGCGTTAAATAACCCGTTGAGGTTGATATGCCGTAAAACAAACCAAATCCTGAAACCCTAACTTGGTAGAACTAAGGAATGTAATATATCTGAACATTTTGTCTGTTGGAAAAGGGTTGTAGGCTGGAAAGTAATTCATCACCCAAAAGGCCATGTAAATGCTTTTGAACTCTATCAAAGCTGAATAGTGAGGACTGGACAGCACCAATCTAGATATGATAGAAATACTCCATTTTGGGCCTGAGCTGACTGATGATACCAATTTAGACTTTGCACTCATTGTCACACCCGACCATCAAAGAAGCCAATTGAAGCAGCCGGTTAACCGGAGAGATGACCTCCTAGCTGGGGGTTGGAGATCCGCGTTTCACCCGAGGTCAGTGGCTACCCTCAGCATATAAACACGTGATCAGCCCAGGCGTGTCTAGGATGTACACAAGTGGGAAATACCGTATAACGTGTAGATATATAAACAACTCAGAGAGAAGAGGTTTTTTTTTTTTTTTTTTTTTTTGGTTAGGAGAGGTCCTCAGAAGCCGTCAGTAACAGATAAAATACAGATTTGTTTTAATCATTTTGCCCCAAGCCAAGCAATAAAACCATAAAGATGCAAGGGGATTTTTTTAAGTATTAAAGAATATGAGAAAAGAAAAAAATAATATTAAGGAGAGAAAACAATCAAAGAACAGGAATTAATTGACATCGTATTTAAATTTTTGAAGGTCAAATTTGACAGGAAAGCAAGAAGCCGGAAGTGAGTTCCACAAGCTAGAAGTGCAAGAGAAGAAACTGTGAGCATAGAACTTACGGTTTCATCTAACAATTTAAAATGTAAAATGATGAGACATAACCGCCAATCTAGTACTGCATTTAAATTCGTAAAATCGAGGTGCCAATGAGAAAACCTTAAGCCGATATGACTGTTAACATTACGATTCCTCTTTGGATTTTATAAAGAATCTCTAAATACCCCACAGAATCACTAAACGAGATGTCACAGCAATATTCATTGCATATACGAACGGTAGACTTATAAATGTGTAAGATAGAAAAATTTTCACTTTTGAGTCCTATTAACGGTTACATATAGTCATTTCAAGTCTAAAATGATGAGACCTAGCCGCCAATCTAGTACTGCACTTGAAATCATAAAGTCTAGCTACCATAGAGGAAAGCTCATTTGAACAATTTTCCATGCAAATATCAATAGTAAAAAACACAGGGAAGCTACGTTACGGCAGTGAATAAGTGACTGAAGCCGAGATGCCAGGTCAGGTCCAATAACATTGCCGATTCTCAAGAATCTCTAAATGTATAGCAGAAGCACCAGACCGGATGTAACAGCAATATTCAAAGTATGGACGAATGGTAGACTTATAAATGTGTAAGATAGATTCTGGTGAGAAAAAAAAAGAAAAAAAAACCGGCAAAGTGAACTAACTTTCCTAGCTGCAGACCTAGCGATTGATTCAATATAATCTTTGCACTGGAGAAGGGAATCACTTTTGTGGAGGTTAGCATCGGCCGTGCTGATGGAAGGTAACACAAAAAATTGTTCTCCAAGGTGATTAAAAGAGATCAATTTCATTTTGGAGGTGTTAAAATAACAAGCTATCTATTGCCCAAGCTGACAATTTGACCATAGTTGAATAGAATGTAATGTTTCGTATGAGCGATTAGGTTTTGTGCTTTTGTGCACAGCGACGTTAAAACTGATTATCACACTAAATTGAAGAAGGCAGTAGAGCACACCGGCTGAAAAACTGTAATAAATACCAACAAAGATGAGGTTGTTAGTTTGAAAGAATTATTGTTTAATGATCTGCTAAGTTGTCATTTAGAAGGAGCGGATAATCTCAGGTTCTGCCGTGTCGGGCTATGTGGTTAACGAAGCCCTGACCGTGACAACCACTCATTTCAAAGGTTCGTTTTTATTGTGGACAGGGAGATATATTAGCTATTATTAATGTTGGTCAGCCGTTATTTGAGTGACCTGTTTCAGAATCTGAACGAAGAATAACACAGATGTCGTTTTCCTGACCTAAAATAGAGAAAGAAAGGGAGAGAAAAAAAATGAATAATTATTCATGTAATTGTTCAGTGACCACGAACCAAAAGGTTCGTTGAATGAGGACACATGAAAGGAAATATGTATGGAGAAAAAATAGAGACAAAAAGATAAACAGCAGATGGGAAAAATAGGAAGTTTTCTAAGCAAACTAGGGAAAGAACACAAAGAACAGAGCGGAGAAACAGGAAGAATGTAAAATAAAAAAAGAGAAGGGAATCGGAAAGTAAGAGACGAGAACTGAAGACGAGAACTGACGACGAGAATAAGAAAGAACGCGCATGCGAGAGAGAGAGAGAGAGAGAGAGAGAGAGAGAGAGAGAGAGAAGGGAGAGGGAGCGGGAGCGGGAGGTACACGAACTGAAGTGAAAGAGAAACATGAAAACTGAAGAACAGAATGGAAGAGAAACAAACGAGAACTGAAGACGAGAATGGAAGGGAAACTGTTGAGAATGAAAGACGATAACGGGGATTAAACTGACGAGAACTGAAGACGAGAACTGAAGACGAGAATTTGAGAGAAGCAGGCGAGAATTGATGAGACAAGAGGGAACAAAAATTGCAGAGAAACATGCACACTTATTAAAGAAAAGAATAGGGAAAAAGTAAAAAATATAATATAAATAAAAGAAGAATTTTCATTTTATAAGCTTTTGATATTATTTAAAAGATGCCTCGCCGTGGAGTACGCTTGAATAAGCGAGTATTGCAGTAATGAGTTCAATCTCCACTGAGGCTCCTACTAATGTATCCCTTTGTCAATCTCAGTTTCTGGATGTATTTTTTCGTTAGAAGTTCTCGGGAAGGTCTGTGGCTTATAAAAAAAATGTCTTTAAAACAAATAAAGGAAAAAAAAAATACATCGTCCAACCCGAAAGTAGAGCGCTCCTTCAGGGTTGTCACATTCACCTAACAAGTGCAGCGTCAGTAAATTTTAAATTGATTTTCATGGCATTAGTAGCCCAGTTAACCCAGTTTATTTTAAAAGTATCCCGACAGAGAGATACGTGGCAACAAGTGGGAGAACTGGTTAGAACATGTTTGTAAAAGAAAATCAATTGCTAAATTAGGATAACAGCAGATTGAGCTACAAATGCAACGATAGAGAATTTGGAATTGACTTTCTTCCTATTAGTAGCACCCCCACACAGCGCTCACTCAAAACTATCAAATTTCAAATTTTAATAATGCTGAACTTTCAAAAGAAGCCCATTTATAGCAACCTTAATTTCAATGAAACTTTTCTGTCCGAAACCTATGGTCTTTTGAAAGAGACTATAAGTTTAGAGCAGAGTTGTAGGACATCTTGGGAGCCTACATAAGTAGCCAGGAAGTATTGCAGGACATCTTGGGAGCCTACAAAAGTAGCCAGACAAGATTGCAAGACATCTTTGGAGCCTACAAATATAGCTATTCAGGCTTGCAAGACATCTTTGGAGCCTACAGATATAACTATTCAGACTTGCAAGACATCTTGTGAGCGTACAAAAGTAGCTAGTCAGGCTTGCAAGACATCTTGGGAGCCTACAAAAGTAGCCAGTCAGGCTTACATGACATCTTGGGTACTTACGAGCGTAGCCAGAGAGGGTTTCAAGACATTTTGGGTGCCTACAAACTGCATGATATTAAAAATCGCTAAGTTCTATAGTATTTCAAACTTTCCACAGTAGTCACAGTGGAAGAATCTCAACATTTGACATTAAGGAAGATGATATAGAAAAAATATTCTTTTTTAGATCTGGGAACTCTCAACAATTTTAACATATAAATTGATGTTAACTGCTCCTTCGCTTTACAATATTTCGAATAACAGGGAAAGCTGGTACCAATGTAGGTCTTTCCTAAAAGTATGGCTAATGCTAACCTCCAAGAGAGAAACTCACTGTGCCTTCTTGGTCTCGTGTTTTCTATTGATATGAAGTGGAAAGATTATATTAAATCAATTGTTAAGCCTGCTGCTAAGAAAGTTGGTTCCCCGCGTCGTGCCAGACACTTTTTCTCGACAGAATCCATCTTTCACATTTATAAATTTACCATTCGTCTGTGCATTGAATACTGCTGCCATTTTTGGTCTGCTGTTTCGGCTGTATATCTCGAGTTTCTCGACAAAATCCAAAGAAGGATCTGTAATGTTATCGGTCATAACATGACACCTCGGTTTCAATCACTTTCTCACCGCTGTGACGTGGCTTCCTCTACAAATATTTTTATCGCAATTGTTCTGATGAGCTGTTCTCCTTAGTGCTTCGATTGCGTGGATTTAAACGTGCTACTAGATTGGCAATTAGGTCTCACCGTTTTACTGATGAACTAGCTAGATACAACCGTCAGTTCTATTCTAATAGTTTTTTTTTTTTTTGCACTTCTTGCCTGTGGAACTCTCTTCCGGTTTCTTGCTTGTTGCAACCTATAATTTTCAAAAATCGCAATCTGAAACCTGTTCTTTTATGTTCATCTCATTAGTTAATCCTTTATTGAGATTCTCCAGCATTCTAACATTATATATATATAGTTTTAAATTGGGCGTATTTATGATGTAAGACTGTGTAATATCAGGTCGGTTTGTAGCTACAGACAGTGAAGGTATAAAAATTAAGACTATACGGTGTTTGTCAATTTCACACTCTAAACGATTCTCAGACCATGTCAGACTGTCTCTCTCTCCCTCCCGCTCTCTCTCTCTCTCTCTCTCTCTATCTATCTATCTATCTATCTATGTTTGCTGATATCTCGTGACGAGTGAACTGAACAATTACACAAAGGTTAGTCTTTGAAACACTGGAGCAGATGTGCTGAATATAACATCAATCAGCTAAGTGACAAATTTTATATTTGTATTAATCCTATATATATATATATATATATATATATATATATATATATAGGCACGATGGATAAATTATCGCCATTTATATTTTTTTATTTCGCACATGCGCATTGCTTGTTTTCTTTTATTTTGTCGATTGCACTATATAGTAGGGTCAGTTGGGCATCGTCTGTGAGAAAAAGTGCACCCTGATGCAATTCACTACGCCAGAAATTTGGAAAACGGTATGCTGTACCGCTTGGCACTCAACGAAGAAATAAATTGAATAACATACGTATTTTTTCCTTTCTCAATAATTTTGTAGTTTTTAAACTTATAGTGATTAAATTTGGATTTTACAATTGCCAGTTTTTAATTTTAATATTAAATTTTATCATATAATTTTATAATTATTGGTTAGTATAAATTATTTTTAATATAAAGCGTATTTTAAAGATCTGAATAGCTATTATAACATGATTTCGCTGTCAAGCTTTTGAATCTTTCTATACTTGGTTTTTGATTGGTTATTCTAGCTTTTGTAACAATGTTTCCCCCTAGTATAGGATCGTTAATTAATTTGAAATTTTTAAAACCATTTATCTTATCTTCAACGTCATCACTTGATAAGACACCAAGGGTATTGAAACAAAATGGCTATTTTTGTAGTGATTTTATAACATACTTATGTTATAATTTTTTTATAAATAATAATTATATATATATATATATATATATATATATATATATATAAATATTCAAATTAAAAAAATTATAATGTTTTATTTTATGAAAGTATTTATTTATTTATATATATATTTGATATATATATATATATATATATATATATATATATATAATGTAAAAGAACGAAGAATAAAATTTCAACGTTCAAAACATTAATTTAAAACAGGGCTCAATACAAAAGTAGAGCAATAAATATTTATTATACACTGTTACATTAGAACATGTAAGTATGTCAGTTTACATGTTCTAATGTAACAGTGTATATATATATATATATATATATATATATATATATATAATTTATTTTAGGATATTACAACAAAAACATGTAGGAATCGCTACACAATTGCAGTCATGTTTCAACAATGTGTCTCCTCAGGTGATTGTAAATTACTGGCGAGTGAATTGTTAATATTGCTCTACTATGTATTGAGCCCTCTTTTAAATTAAATATTCAGCCCTCTTTTGCATTAAATGTTACAAACATTGGAAGTTTACTCTATTCGTTCTCATCGTACCTGGATATATATATATATATATATATATATATATATATATATATATATATATATATATATATATATATGTATTTGGGAAGCAACCTCTCTAATATATGCTTCAACTGACAAGATATTTGTGAGAGATTTTTCTTGTATTTTTAATGTGTGCAATGTTTGATTTTCAATGAAGCATTCATGTACAAATTGCTCTCTCTCTATGTATATAAATGTAAAGCGTGTATTTAGGCAACAATGCAAGTTTGATTAAAGATAATATTTTTTGTAAATTTTAGTTTATTTTTACAGTAGAAATTCATGAAATCTTAGTGAGGAAAAAGAGTATTAGAGGCGAAAAATTAAAGAAGCGTTACTGACAGATTATCTATATCAAATTTAAAATTAGCTGGTCTCTAGACATTTTTTTACAGTTTAACGTTTTTTATAATCGTAACCATACAGATCTAAACACACGGTAGCCATATGCATTTTCCTGTTCTCTTCTATATTCAGAAATTTTAATTAAAAAAATCGTTCTACCGACCGCTTTGTGCGTTTTCTATTTAATAAAACAGCATGACCAAACCAATCCAGTTAAAATCGCCGACGCCGTTTCGCCTGCACAAAGGCACAACCACAGTTGGTCATTCATTTTGTGAATGACAACGCAATTGTCACTTCAGAATAAGAACGGTCGCCATATTGCATCCGGTGAATAAACAATGAAGTCAGAAAGAAATGAAAAGGAAAAAAAAAAAAAAACGAAAGGAGGACGAATAATAAAGGAAAAAAAAAAAAGAATTGACACAAAAGCTGATGGGGACAAGGGAAAGAAATGGATGAAAATGGCCAATTGATTTTAATGAAGGAAAATGACAGAAAGAAAAAGCGAAACATAGTCCGACTCTGAGGAGTAGCTTCTTCCACCGGGACAGTAATAGATGTTACTGTACAAATGTTTTCCCACTGTCGCGTAATAGCGTTAACCAATTGTTTTTTTTCTTTCTGAGCAACAAACAATAGATTATCCAGAAATAAACTGAATAAAGAAATAAATAAAAAAGAAATAAAAAGAGCAAAGAAAAAAAAAAACAATCTTTTTTTTTGGCGAAGAACGGACGATGAAAAAAGTGACTGCGAAGAAAACGTTATTATTAATTAAAGGCGATTATATGGAAAATAAAGAATATTGAAAATAAATAACATTAAAAATGCTACATAGAATTACTAAAATAATAGTAATTAATAATTTAACAATGTTATTATGAATGCAATGCATATAAAGAAATCGGTGAATGTTCTGGTGGTAGCGGGTTAAATTTGCGATGATTTTAGGACTTGTAGACAAAAGTATAACCCCCCTCCTCACACACAAGTAAATAAAACGCAAAGAAGAATCTGCAATGTTATTGGTCCTGACCTGGCTTTAGTCACCCCTCCCAACATCATCGCCATAACGTAGCTTCCCTCTGCCTTTTCTATAAATATTTTCATGATAATTGTTCTCATGAACATTCCTTTTTGGTACCTAGACTTTATGAATTTAAGTGCAGTACTAGATTGGCGGCAAGGTCTCATCATTTTACAACTGAAATGGCTGCTAAATGGAACTGTAAGTTCTATGTTAACAGTTTCTTCGATCTGACTTCTCGCTCGAGAATTCTCTTTTCGACTTCTTGTTTTCTAGTAAACTCTGATCTTCAAATATTTAAATGCAATGTTAATCGCTATCTACCGTTTCTTAATTCTTGTTCTTTTATTATCCTCCCTCATTAACAGTGTTTATTTTCCTCTTATTCCTTAATTCTAACAAACCCCTTGCTTATTAGTGGCGTTATTGTGCTGCTTGTGGTGAAATGATAAAAAGAAAGAAAGAAAAAAATGCGCTATGGAAGATAATGGGTATGTCCCCATTCACATAAATATAGTAGTATATACTGTATGTTGGTCTGCAGTTGGAGATTCATTGTGGAATTCACTTGGCTCACTTCTAGCAGTTGACTACTTTTTCTCCGCACTGCTGCCGATTCTTATATGTGTTGTTCTTGTCCTAAGTGTTAATGTTCATTACCAACCTTCGTTTGATTATTCTATTCAGTAATCTTCACTAGGATACAACATTATTTTTAAAAGAACTAAATATACCAAATTCAACTCCTTGTATACTGTATATGAGAGGTGTTGAAAAGTTCTCAGACTTCCCAAAATCTGACCAAACATTGAAATTTTATTTTGGATTCCCTTCTTAGTTGGACTAAAAACTTTTCAGCATCCCCTCAGATATGTTGGTGCGATCATACTCTGGCTGTATGGTATAAGCATTTTTACACCTGAATAATAATGATTTATTGATATATATTGTTGTAGCATACCTACGGACGATAATGGGCATGTCCCCATTCCCATAAATATAGTAGTCAATACTGTATTTTGTCTCCAGGTGTGCTGATCAAACTCTCTGCTTCCGGGTAGAGATGCCCAGACAAGGCTATGTCAAATGGCAGAGTTTCGTCTCGGGAAACAGCTACCCGATCCCGTTTTATACGAGGTCTACGGGGGATTTTTGGGCCGATCTCGGATACCCCACATTAAATTGAATTAAATTAAATGCCACGTTTGACCGCGTGGGGCGGTTGGTAGATATCCTGCCGTTGGAGATTCATTGTGAAATTCACTTGACTCACTTCTAGCAGTTGACTACTTCTACGCGCCGCTGGCGAATCTTATATGTGTTGTTCGTGTCCTAAGTATTATCGTTCATTACCAACCTTCGTTTCATTAACCCTTCCCTAGGTTACAACACTAATTTAGTAAGGGCGACCGCTAAACTGAAATAATAGCCCAGTCATATATTCATCATAGCGAACTCAAATATCATGGTAATTACAATGCATCTTCAGTTGAGTAAACTGAAACTCAACTTTTTAAAACTGTATTTTTAGAAACAGTCCTCTTGTACGGATCAAACAGCTGGATATTAACAAAATTACAAGCAAAATAAGTTAACATAACAAGAAAAAAACAAAAACAAACCAAAATTAGATGGCACATACTGAAATCGACTATTGAGAGCATCACTAAATATCAGTTTGAAACGACATATCCTCCCGTCCTGGGTAAGACGATAAACTACATCCGCGTCCTGGGTAAGACGATAAACTACATTCGACAGCAAAGCCCCTGATTGGCAGGCTTTGAGGAGCATGGTGCCATCTCTTAATTGCTGGTGCTTCCAGGTCCAACCTGACCCGGGGTGGTGACGCCTGTTGGGGTCTCAGCTATGGGTAGGTGGTTGGCCTCCAAGCTCAGGTCGGGACGCTATAAAGATGTAAAAATGGGTTTAATACCAGCAATACGTTTTATTTATTTTTTATCTCTTTAGCGGTTGCAGGCGTTAAAGGATATATTGATTTTAATTCATTATCTATCAAATTTGGTATATCTGAAAAGCAATTGTTCCTTTAGAAAGAAAAGAGACATTGTTTCATACGATCGACGCAAAATGTCTGTTGTCTTTCATAATACGGGGTTTTACTTTGTACCACTCCAGTAAGTGCCTGACTCCCTCTGTTATCATCTAGTCCTGGGTATGACGATAAACTACATCTGGCAACAAATCCTCTGATCGGGAGATTTTGAGGAGCATGGAATCACCTCTCAATTGCTGGTGTTTCCAGGTTCA